TATATATATATATATATATATATATATATATATATATATATATATATATATATATATATATATATATATATATATATACGCATATGTATCCTGTTTCTTGTCTTTTCTCATCTTTTCCAAATAAGGATTTAGTATATTTTTGAAGATTTAGTATATTTTATACTTGGTCCTTTTACAATCGTCAGTATTTTCTAAAATCCGCATCTCGATAGACAATGAGCACTATCCGGAGTATCCTCTTCCTGTTTAAAAATTAAAATAATTTTAATTAAAATTAAATAATTGCAACATTTCATTTTTTATATTAAGACATACTGAAATATTCAATAAAGACTACTTACTTTTATTTACATTTATGTACAATATCACATCCTTATAAAGAAAGTGACATGAAACACAATTTTCAAGTTATCATTATAAAAATGTTGAAATAGAAACAGCTCTTGATCAATTATAATTATACAATTATGTATATAAATATTATACTATTTTGAATTGCGCTGTTTCTTTAATTAATAAAAATTAATAATTTTGTTCAAAATCAGTTTTTTTCGCTTCCCCTGAAAAATATATTTTTTCGACTAACTAAAAAACATATTTTGTTCGCAAGGATGCGATATATATTACATGTAAGATATTATTGATCAGTGTTTGTTTTGCAAATGATATGTTTTTGAAAAAAATGAAAGAGGAAAAAGTTTTAATATTTATTATGATCAACATGATTGCGTACTCTAACTTTTTATATTTGCGCTGTTGTTCAAAAAACGAAAATGATCTTTAGTTTTTTTTTTAGTGAAATGATACACTTTTCAATCTATTAATCGATGCAGTTCATCATTCTCTAATTTCTAACTTGTGAAAGATAAAATGTCTTTCATGCATAGATTATATAAAATTAAAGTTTAAATATCTCCTAAAGTACTAATAACTTTTCGAAATAAATAAGTTAATATTTTTTCACAAAGAATGACAAAGTGTATCGATTGGTGGATCAAAAAATATGTTATTTAATTTAAAAAACTGACTTCAAAAAATTGGAGGTCATTTTCGTTTCTCGAACAACATTGCAAGTATAAAAAATCATGTTGGCAATAAAAAATGTTAAATTAACTTTTCTTTTTTCACTTTTTTTAGAAATATTATTTACGAGAAAAATGTTAATCGATAATACCGCCTTGTGCCAATACTTTGTGCACCTATATATAAATTTGAAAAAATATATAATTTAAATTTTAAATTATTATATAATTCTTATTTCTGCTTTGCATTCAGAAAGTTTTAAAGATAGAAATAATGCAAATTAATAAAATAAGAGAAAAAGAATTTAGTTACATATTATTTTTATACAGAACTCTACAAAATTAAAGAATCATTAAATCTTAACCGAAAAATTGTCGATCTTCAAACTCTCGTAACTTTATAACTTTATAACTTAGTAACTTTATAATTTAGTAATAAAAAGTCGCCCAAAATTTTGTTTAAAAAAAACAAAAAAAAAAAAAAAACGCTCAATTTAAAGAATGAAGTTACTACTGTCAGAATTCATTTGTAATTTTTTTGTTTGCAATATTTTTACGTCATGTAACGGGTGAAAAATTGTATATATCTCTTCTTTTCGAAATTTTTACAAATTTAAAATAACGTCCCTAGGGATGTTAAAAATTTTTTTTTAGAACAAAAATTTACTGCATATTTTGAGATTGGTATAATCTCTCTAGAGGGTCTTTACAACTACTCTTTAAAATTTGAGGTATGATTTTCCTTCGTCTTTATTTAACTTTGAATCAAAAATGTGCTATATCGCCGATATTGGAATAATCCGAGGTACACCACGAGGAGGCTGCATGATGGGACTTCCAATGACTCCCATTGATATTCGGGCACTAAATGTTCAAATTGTTATAATTTTATGAAAAAAAAAAAAAAAAAAATCATTTTACAGCTTGATTCATTTTTGATTCATTCAAAGTCGAACAAATTGACGAAGAAACATTTTTCACTGATCGAAGACAATTTTTCAGTTTGGATTTAATGTTGCGGAACGTATAATGTAGACAAATTATATTTCAACAAATTTTTAATTACTTTTATGATATAATACGATATAATATTTATTACATACCTTTTTCATTAATCACTTATTTCGAAGGAGAATTAAAGGACTGCAGGTACGTGAACACGAAAGATATTATTTATTTATAATTTATGAGGACAAACAAGTAAATTTACATAGGA